TATTTTTAAACCCTCACCCACTGGAAATGTTATATAATTTAACATCTGATCTCAAAGCAGAAGAGCATGCTGGTCTTTGCGTTTTAAAATTTAGATCCCCAATCCAACAGCCAATGGAGTTAATGAACAAAATCACTTAACAAATTTTAGATGAACCAAACTGATTTAATAATGAAATTCAGTTCTTCTAAATTGCTTTTTAATTTCTGGTGAGCCAGAACTGACAAGCTAACTTTTTTTATCCAATGCACAAGAAAGGAACTTTTAGTAAATCTTTGAAGGAACCTGTTAAAGGAGGTGGTGTCACTATAGCATTTAAAGCAGTTCTGTCTGGTATCTTTGCATATTTTGCAAAAACCCCTTCAGGTGGGTGCAATGTCAGTGCTGTGCGTTCGCTCTTTCAAGAGTAAAACACTGATGTCCATGGAGGACCCTGCGAGAATGCAGGTGCAAGTTTCACAAACTACGACAAGCAGCAGCTTCCACAGCCTTTTCTAGTGACAGCTGGGAATTGGCCGAAGTGCTACCTTTTGTCAAGTTTTGTCAAGCCAGGGATTTTCCATATGACAAAGCAGTCCATACACTGTCTTACAATATCTTTTAGACCAACAAGGATTTAGTTAAGGAACTGCACTCATTTAGTAGAGCAAAATAATTGGGTGCAACAAAACCAGGAGCTAGAATATTCCCCATACAATATTAAATCCAAGAAAGAGAAAAGGATCCAGGCACTCTAAAGCTCAGCAAGGCAAATTTATTGGAACTGAGTACCGAGCAATTCTTCATCAGGGTCTTTGTTAAGCTTGAAAAAGATTTGTAGCAGTGTTGTAAAATATTGTTGTGTACTTGGTTCCAATAAATTTGCATTTCTGAGCTTTGGAGTGCCAGGACCCTTTACTCTGTTAAAAGAAACTGTGAACCACATGATCTTACTAGTACTTTTCCTACATCTATTGAATTTGGCTCTCCAGATACCTTGAATCTGGTGCCAGATATAGTTTATTTTTTAGTTTCCCCTTTCCAAGTTTTGAGGTGTCTCCCATTCTTCAGCACATAACTAAAGGGCCCGTGTCACTCCGTTTAACTCAGGTGTATGCAAGAGTGTCCAGAAAAACCAACAGAACTCAATAGGAAGGTTCGCAATTTACTGCCAGCACTTCTCAAGCATGCAAAGGAAGCCGGTCAGGTTCTCCAAGAACATCCTCAACTAAATGGTAAATATAGCTTAAAAATTACAAATACTATAAAGTTTATGTTCAGACTACCACAAGGATCATGACTTTCACTTATACCATGCTGTTAATATCTGTATTAATACTCCTACATATCTAATCAGACTAAGAGACATACAGTATTAAACTTACATGCTCATGACATGAGACTATAAAACATCATCAATACTCAATGACATGTACTGATGATGGAAAACTTTCTTAGACACAACACAGAACCAGTGGAACTAGTCAAGACCAACCCACACCAGTACAACAACCATTGGAGAACAATGGTATAAAGTAAAGTGTAAAAACCCTTCTCCAACATATCACTCACCAAAAGAAATGCAAAAATTGTGTGTCACTCAACACAAATTTTTAGTAAACCTCTAGCAGGATTTTGCGGGGACACTCTAGGTCAATGTATCATCTGTTCATGCTACTAGCATGATTAAAGGCAGGTAGTCTTCATTTCTTGACACAGACACCGATAGTGTTGTGCACCAATTGTGGCTTTTTGATGGTATAGCTTCTGATTACTGGCACGTTTATAATTTCTTGCGTGCCATTTTCAACCAATCATTTTGCACACCTGGGGAATGCCTGTAAGTCCCCTGCTTAATGTCATGGTTTACCTCTCTAAGAATATGGTATAGACAGTTTTTTTTTTCTTTTTACATTTGAGATTTTTATTTAAAAAAAAAAGATAAGTTGGGGGTACAGAAAGCAAAATGGGGGGGGACGACAACAAGAGTATACAGTTCCAGTTACATGACAATGCAATCTAAGTAAATATGGCAATAAACCTCGATGCTATTAGTACAGTGGTCCCATTTATATGAAGTGGTCTGGGGCAACCTCTTTCTCCTGTGCCCTTTATGGAGGCGGAGGTACTAGTGTCTGTTAGGCTGGGTCTGCACGTTCTCTAACTGTGATCACCTGTGTAGGGTATTTACAGTTGTCATCTTGTAACCAACCCTGCAAATAACTGTCTGCTAGCCATGGGTTTTAGGGAAATGTGGGGGGGGGGGGAGGGATGGCAGCCTTAGGCCTAGGGGGCAAAACCAGTCAAGTGGCCCATTGCACCACCAAATCAGTGCAATGGTGCCCACCTTTTCCTGGTTTTATAACAGATATTGATGTTATGCTAGTCAGTAGCTCTTTGCCATACCCGCTCCTTCACGGCTCTGACTTTCAATGTTGTCAGAGCGCAGGCTGAGAATCTCTGAGCCTGTGCTCTGACTCACTAACTGAGCGCCGGAACCACGAGGGAGAGGCTATAATCTGACTGGACCTACTGCTGGTGCGCACCAGTGGACCACCAGCGAATCGTTTAAATTGAATAGGCTGGTGTGTCCAACTTGTGAGCTGTGTTGTCCGCCGGGCGCCTCTGTTGTGATGGCACCCTGCGTGACCGCACAGCGTGCACACCCCAACGGCTGGCCCTGCTGACACACACTGATGTTACTACTTAGAAATCCCTCAATATTAATACAGACATCAGAGTAAACACCAATAAACTGTGGAAACAGAGCTGATCCCACCCAAATTTATAAAGATTTGCTTACTGGATTTGTTGTAAGATTAAATCATGCCTCCTCCTCTCTCTCTTCCATGCACTGCTCTGTAAGCTGGGAGGAAGTGAAGAGTAATCACAATCTCCCAGCACAGTGACACCTGTGGCTGCATGGGGAACAGCTGTATTTCCCGCCCCCCATGTGACATCACAATGCCCCACCTATATGAGCTGCCATACGAACTAACGCCAGTGCTGCCCACAGTGTGTGTTTACATTAAAAATCCTGCAGGGACCGGCTATAGACACCAGAACCACTTCATTAAGCTCCAGTCGTTCTGGGGACTATAGTGTCCCTTTAATGTAATGTAAATTATAGATTAGTGTCACTAATAATATACTAGATTGCCTACTTACAACCAAATGAGGATGATGATGGGCTGCAGTTTGGCTCCACTGGTCTGGTGTAGAACAGGATCTCTGGAGGCTGTTTGCAACTGTGGTCACAAAATTCAATGTTCTGGGAGAATTGGAAGCAGCTCCATTTTTTGGGGGGCCCCTTACACAGCTCAAGGTCTGGGCCCCAGGGCCTGACGGTGAGTATGCCCACAAGGCCCACTCATAAGTCCACTTATATGTTCCACCCACCCATGAGTTCGCTCACAGGGAGTGGAGTGTGTAGGGGATGTGTTATGTGTTATTGTAGAGGATCTAATATGTGTGCTTATGGTATGTAGTGTATAGGGATACCAGTTTGTGCAGGTGATGCAGTGTGTTTGTGTGTAGTGGAAGCAGTGTGTATTAGTGTATAAGGGATGTATTGTGTGTTTCTGGTTGTGTGTAAGGGATGCATTGTGTGAATCTGTGTTTGTATGCATAAGGGATGCAAGGTGTGTGTCTGTAAGTGTGTGCATTGAGTGTGTGTTAGTGACAGGGCCGGACTGGGAATTAAAAGCAGCCCTGGAAAAAAAATATTTACCAGCCCCATAATGCATCGCGTCAGCATAGTGTGCAGATACAGAGTTAGAACAGATAACTTAAAATTAAAAAGTACTTCAACGTAAAAAGCGCACTCATAGGCTTCAAAATAAACAAAAGTGCAGATTTATTTTAAGCAGACGTGCCTTTGCATGTAATCAATGTTTCAGTCCAACTACCTTGACATATTAAGGAAAGCTTGTTAATGGGACTGAAATGGTGAATGTATGTAGGGCACAACTGAAAAAATGTTTATTTTGAAGTCCTGTGGGTGTGCTCTTCACTTTAAATATGTTATTGTGCTGGAGTATGCACCTAGCAACAAGACTGGGCCAATATCTGCTCATTACATATGGTACATATTAATGAAATTTCTCTGTGTATTATGCATTTATAAATGTACATTAATATGTGTAAATATAATAGAGATATAAAACTAATACACACATTAATATACATGTCATATACTAATGGCGGATCCAGAGTCTGAGCCTGAGAGAGGCACTTGTAGATTATTTAAAGAAATATTCCATGCACAATAACCACTACTCCTCTGTGTAGTGGTTATGGTGCCAGGAGCGTCGGCACCCCCTCCCAGAGTAAGTCGTCAAACCGTTTAAGAACAGTTTGACACCGTACCTGGAGTCTGCTGGGATATGGGGCTGTAGTAGGGTATAGGAGCAGTGGTGCAATGTGTGTGAAAGGTTCAGTGTGTGGGTGGGCAGTGTGTAAATGTGCATGGTGTGTGTGTGTGTGTGGGGGGGGCAGTGTGTGAATGTGTATGGTATGTGTGTGGGGCAGTGTGTGTATGGGGCTAGAGTTCACTCCTACTACTGGGACCACCAGGAAGTGGTGAGAGTGAACTCTAGCCCGTAGCTCCAGGGAGGGGAGAAGCTGCAGCCGCCTGAGCCTCTTAACAGAGCGCTCGGGCGGCTGCAGTATTTAAAGGGCTGGCCCAGGAACGCGGCCGGCCCCCAGGTGCCGCGGCCCACCGGGAAATTTCCCGGTATCCCGGTGGGCCAGTCCGGCCCTGGTTAGTGATGCATTGTGTTTCTGTGTGTATGTAAGAAAAGCAGTGTGTGTGTAAGTGTTTGCATTATGTGTTTCTGTGTATGTGTGCAAAGGATGCATTGTCCCTGTGTAAGTGTTGCATTGTGTGTGTGTAATGGATGCGTTGTGTGTTTCTCTGTGTGTAAGGGAAGCATGTTGTGTTTCTGTGTGTGTAGGGATGCATTTTGTGTTTCTGTGTATGTATAGGGATGCATTGTGTGTGTGTTTGCGCGTAGTGTCCTCTCCTCCCTGTGTCCTCCTCACCTCCCCCTCCCTGTGTTCTCCTCACCACCCACCCTCCCTGTGTTCTTCTCAGTCCCCCCCTTCTCCTCATCTCCCCTTCTCCTCACTCTTACTCTCCCCCTCCTCCTTGTGTTCTTCTTACTCCCCCCTTGTTCTTCTTACCCCCCGTTTTTCATACCCCCCTTCTTCTTCTTACTCCCCCTCCTCCTCCTTCTGTTACTCCCCCCTCCTTCACTTACTCCCCCCTTCACTTACTCCCCCCATCTTCACTTACTCCCCCCTCCTTCACTTACTCCCCCCATCTTCACTTACTCCCCTATCTTCACTTACTCCCCCCTCCTTCATTTACACCCCCCATCTTGTGGGTCACCAGTAGACTGGTGCACCTGCCCAGGATCAGAGCCGGTGCAAGGATTTTTGCCGCTCTAGACAAAATAAAAATTTGCTGCCCCCCCATGTGACATCACAATGCCCCACCCATATGAACTAACGCCAGTGCTGCACACAGTGTGTGTTTACATTAAAAAGCCTGCAGGGACCAGCTATAGACACCAGAACCACTTCATTAAGCTATAGTGTCCCTTTAATGTGAGGTAAATTATAGATTAGTGTCACTAATAATATACTAGATTGCCTACTTACAAGCAGATGAGGAGGATGATGGGCTGCAGTTTGGCTCCACTGGTCTGGTGTAGAACAGGATCTCTGGAGGCTGTTTGCAACTGTGGTCACAAAATTCATTGTTCTGGGAGAATTGGAAGCAGC